TGCTTTTTGAATAAGGAGATTATGAGTTAAACAATCAGCATTATTTCAACTGTTCAGCGATTACCCTTTGGCGCCATATGCCAAACTTTTTTTGGGCATTTTCTTGGACCACCACATAAAAAGCAAGATAGCGCAATAAGGCTGCAGTCACATTTAAAAATTTTGCTGCGTCCCAGTACATATAAAAAAACAAAAAGAATCTTATGTTTTATACTTACACTAAACCTATTAAAGTTGTTCAACAGCATTATATCTTAAAAAACACAAAGAGATACCTAATTTTAAAATACTTATCACTTAAAACAAACAAACAACAAACAAAAAAAATCAATGCCTGACATAGAGACAAATGGGCAACCTGCCTATTGGAAAAATTAGTGCCAGTAAGGTTACTCACACCCAAGGGTGCTGCGCTCACAACCCCTTCAAATCTTATTTTTCAATTTAAAAAAAAAAAAAAAAAAAAAAAAAGCAAAAAAAAAAAAAAAAAATTAGTTGGGCAAGGTGGTTCACACCTGTAGTCCCAGCTACCCAAGCAAGAGGTGGGAGGATCACTTGTGCCTAGGAGGTCGAGAAGCTACAGTGGGATATGATTGTGTCACTGCACTCCAGCCTGAGGAACAGAGCAAGACCCTGTCTCAAAACAAAACAAAACAAACAAACAAAAAAGCTAAAAGAATCCTTAAGGCTGAGTACAGTGGCTCAAACCTACAATCACAGCACTTTGGAAGGCCAAGGCAGGAGGATTGCTTGAGGCCAGGAATTTGAGACCAGCCTGGGAAATAGCAGTCTGTACTAAAAATAAAAACTTAGCCAAGCATGGTGATGTGTGCCTATAGTTTCAGCTTCTGTGGAGGCTGAGACAGGGAGGATGCCGTAAAGCCAGGAGTTGGAGGCTGCAGTGAGCTATAATTGGGACATTGCACTCCAACCTCAGCCTGGGTGACAGAGCAAGACCTTGTCTCCAAAAATAAAGGGGCAGGGGAATTTATTCCATGATAGAGCTCCAGACTTCTGTTAAGGGTTTGTGGTAGATTGAATAATGGCCCCGTAAAAGGTATCTACATTTAAATCATTGGGACTTTTAAATATGTTGCATTGTATGGTAAAAGGGACTTTTCAGACCCTTTTAAATTAGGTATCATGAAGTGGGGAGATGAACCTGGATTATCCAGAAGACCCAGTTTAATTACACAGGTACATAAGGGGGAAGCCAAGTACGTTGAAGAGAAAAGGTGATGTGATAATGAAAGGAGAGAGAATTTGGGAAATGTTGTGGAGGTGGTTTTGAAGACAGAGGATGGGACCATGAGCAAAGGAAGGCAGGCAACTTGTAGAACCTAGCAAACGTAAGGAAACAGATTCTCCCCTAGAGCCCCGCAGAGGGAATGCAGCCCATTGTAGATATTCAGAACTATAAGATAATATATTTGTTTTATTCTAAGTTCATGTTATTTTGTTATAGCAGCAATAAAAAACTGTTACAAAGCTAGACATGGTGGCTTGCCTCTAATTCCAGCACTTTGAAATCACTTGAGACCAAGAGTTTGAGACCAGCCTGGTCAACATGGTGAAATTGTATCTCTGCTAAAGATACAACAAAAATTAGCTGAGTGTGATGACGCATACCTGTAGTCCCAGTTACTCGGGAGGCTGAGGATGGAGGATCACTTGAGCCCGGGAGGTGGAGGTTGCAGAGAGCTGAGATCACATCACTGCACTCCAGTCTGGGCAACAGAGTGAGACCCTGTCTCAGGAAAAAAAAAAAAAAACAACTAAAAACTTGATGCAGAGCTCCTTGAGACTTTAGTGGAAGATTAAATTGAATATACATAGGATAAGACTTACAGGAGATAAACAGCTTGCAGGGAAAGAACAATGACCAGGGACCCTGTGTTCACTAAGTGATTCCTAAAGCTTACAGAGGTCTAGAAGATGTTAGAGTTCTGACTAGCCACAGTGGAGAGACCTGGTTGAAAAGTGTAGGGCACTGAGTAGTGATCTTGCCAAGGGACTAAATTAGCCATAGGGTAAAACCTGCCTTAAACCTGTCTTATTATAGATAAAAGGTAGCCAGAAATGTGGACATTGACATAAATCCAAATACAATGTATGAAAATTCTGCAAAGGTATCAGCTATAAATATTTTTTCAATAAATGTCTTCTGTAAAAGGAGGCGTTCATGGAGGCATGAACAGTACAGCTGAAAGTAGGCAAGATGTCTCATGTTTAATATTTGTTAAGGGGATGTGGCTTTCAACAGTTAAGTATCTTTAAGTCTTTCAAGGGGTTAAGGGATGGTTCTGATTTGGCCATTTTTCCTTTGTATCTTTACACAAAGGATTGTTTCCTTGAGGATAAGATGCTGTTTTCAGATTTATCTCTTGATAAGAGAGACACATTCACTTAGTCCTTCCAGCACAGAAAGACACTTAAAAGGTTCACAGGCGGGCGCAGTGGCTCACGCCTGTAATCCCAGCACTTTGGGAGGCCAAGGCCGGCGGATCATGAGGTCAGGAGATCGAGACCATCCTGGCTAACATGGTGAAACCCTGTCTCTACTAAAAATACAAAAAATCAGCCGGGCGTGGTGGCGGGCTCCTATAGTCCCAGCTACTCGGGAGGCCAAGGCAGGAGAATAGTGTGAACATGGGAGCCAGAGCTGGCAGTGAGCCAAGATCGAACCACTGCACTCCAGCCTGGGTGACAGAGTGAGACTCTGAGACTCCATCTCAAAAAAAGAAAAGGAAAGGTTCACAAATGGGATTACGGTGAGAAGTAGTTTTGAAACTTTGTTACACATTAGAATCACCTAGGGAATTTTACAACTCTCAGTTCCCCGTCTTTGATACTGCATGCCACTCATCCTTTTAGAGTGGGACCCTGGCATCCACAGATGATTCAAGTGTGCAGGCAAGCTTGAAAACAGGTGACATGCAAGTGGTTGAGTTGGCAGAGATGTGAATTAATACTTGTGATTTTAGTTGATTTTAAACATAACAGATGCAAGTGTTCATTGACAATTATTTAAAAATATATTCTCTTAAATTTAATTATTATGTTTATTACTGCTTTTTCCTCAGCTACTTTTGAAAGAAGTAACTGTGTCTATATGATTTAGGTCATTTGTCTCTTATGTCTTGACAGTATGTAGTACTACTCTCTGGGTTGGGCAAGTGGACAAGAAGGCAACACAGCAAGACTTAACCAACCTGTTTGAAGAGTTTGGACAAATTGAATCCATTAATGCAAGTATTAGTTCTTAATAATTTAAGGTTTAAAAAAAGGAGGTTTTTATTAATACAAAGAGTCACTTCTGTTCCTAATTAGCCCAGTAATGTCTACCTTAAATAATACACATCTTTAAAAGGATTGCTTTACTTTGATAATGTCTGTGTTTATTTTGGTGCTGTTTCTCTCCTTAATTATTTTTATTTTTTAGTGGAATTCTAACAAAATATTCTTGAGTTTTATAACAGTGTAGCATGCTTGGTTCCTAACATCATCAAATGTTTGAGTTAGCAGGAACCCTATCTGTGGTCTAGTTTAATTCCTTTTTTAAAAAAATGCGTCTAAGGAAATGGAGAGTTCCACAGAATTGTTGTCACTTGCACATGATCACATAAGCAGTCGTGGAGACACAGCTGGGCTTGGGATCCCAGTTTCTTTTGCGTTTTTCTTCTCACTGTCTTGTGCTCTTTTACTCTCTTTTTTATCAAACAGAGCAAATGTCAGGTAAGAAAATTAGTATGGCCAGCGAATTGCTAGTAAGTTGAGCATAACTCTTTCACTCTGGATTCTGGCACTAGTTTTGCACCACTCAGTCTCCTCCTTTGAGTCTGTTTTATTCTTCATGAGGCCTGATGCTTTTCCCTGAAGGTTAGACATCTTGGTTTGCTATTTTAATTGTTCTTTTATTTAAAAATTATGTGCTCTCTGTCTTCCTTCCTCCTGCTGTGTGATGAAATGTTTTGTAGTCATTTGTTTGGGGAGACATTTATCCATCCATTCATCCATCCATACTGGTAAGCAGGAAGTATGAGGAGACCAAATTCATCAGGCTTCTGATTTCATTCCCTGTGGTTACAGTTTTATGTCTGTGGGATCTTTTTATCATTATTTATCAGAAAATTGCCCAGTTTTCCTTTCTAGTCTTATTTCCCAGTCTTCCTTAAATGGCCAAACTTGACTTTTCTGTAATAGTAACAGAATTCTTTGTTTGAGTTGAGTTGAACCATTTTGCATCTTACTTTTGACTGTGTATGATCTCTTTGGAGCCTCGTTAAGAAGCTGGTTAAGTAATTCAAGTATGATTATTTTCTAATGAAGAAACTACGTGATTTGCTTAAGTTACACAGGTGATAAAAAGGTGATTGGTTAAGGATTTCAACTTGGGTACTTCAGATTTCTGTCTATATACCACAAGAGTGCTGTCGACTTCTCTTATTCTTTTGTCTTTTTAGATTTTACCTGTTAAAACATCACTATCTTTCAGAGTCTGTAATCATAGACTTTCTCTGAAGTTTCTTTCTGGTTTACCCCTACCCTTAAACTACTGATTCTCAGTTCTAGCTGCATATCAGTAATATGTCTTGACATTTGAAAAATTAGGGATGCCAATGCTCAATGTCTTCAAATTTTTAGCAAAGTGCACAGCTGCATACATAGGTGATTCTGACACACAGCAGGAATCATTGCTCTGAACACACCTTGTGTCCAAGTAACATTTTGTATTTTCCTGTTTGTTGATCATGTTTGTAGTCTTTATTGTATCGTGGTCGCTTGAGCATCTGTTTGCCTTATCCCTCTCCTCTATTGTATTACTTTTTGAGAGCATAGTACTTATAAATAATAAGCACTAAGTTATTTTGTGAAATGAAGATTCATAATCCACTCATTTAATTTTGGGGACGTCAAAGACAAAAAAGTCCATTCAGTTTGGCATTTAGTAGGTCACTGGTGAGCTTGAAGAGAGTGGAGTATTTTCCAGTGGGTTGGTGAGGAATTAAGAGTTAGATTGCAATAGATAAAGAAGAATGTCAAGGTTTAGATAGACTTCTCTTTTAAGAAGTTTGATATTAATATTAAAGAGACAGTAGCTTGAAGTGTTAGCAAGGCCGAGGAAAAGGTTTCTGTGTAAGCTTTAATAACAGATAGGACTTATTTTAGGTATTGAGTGAAAATAAAATGATAGAATGCCTTTTGAGTTTCTCAGAAAGAAATGCTGTGCATAGTTTTCTGAGTTAATATATTAAGGATAATTTTATGGTCTGGTAGTTGTAGAATAGTTAAATGCTTTATAAATCAGTCTCAAATCTTAACACTGAGGCTATTTTCTTCTTGTTAAAACCTTTGCCAGAAGCACTTGAACAAAATAAAGTTTTATAAGACTGAAAATTTTTTATCAGTTCTTTCAGATTATGGATTTTATATTAAGGATAAGATAATTCCCCAAAAGAAAAATCCTCTTTGCATTACTCAGTATAACATTTGGAAAAATTGAGGTAATATTGGGAATAAATTGTTGCCTTCAAATATTTTGACCATATACTACTACTTTCCTTTTATCTGGTGGCATTATATATATGAAGTTATACATTTTGTTTTGTTTTGTTTTTAATAGTTCTTTTTCTGTATTCAAAAAATATTGCCATATGATATTTAAGATTTCATGTATCATGGCTTATGATACCTAATTGAGTTTTGAATTTTGGGATTTTAAAAGTTGAGTTATTAATTGTACATGAATTGTACCTACTAATAAACAGCTGGAGGAAGAAAGGGGAAAATAAGTCAGTAATCTATCAAAATTGAAGTATTAGTAAGTAGTCAATGTTTTGTGTCATTTAAACCATAAAATACTGGAATGAATTTGTCTTCTTATACCATTTCTTAAAAAAATTTTTTTTTATTAGATGATTCCTCCCAGGGGCTGTGCTTATGTCTGCATGGTTCATCGACAAGATGCATTTCGAGCTCTTCAGAAACTCAGTTCTGGATCGTATAAAATTGGGTCCAAGGTCATTAAGGTGAGATTTGGTGGAGTGGAACTTGGGGTTGGGGGGGCAGTATTTTTAATGTCTGTTATGTTAAAGTCTGAGTTTTTCACAAAAGGGTCACAAGCTCTTTTATTGGATTATTAGAATGTCTCTGTATTAAATTCTTTTTAAATGTTATGGACAAACCTCATCAGAAACTTATTGTTTCAGTTCATTGAGTTACAGAATTAGATGTAGGTAAGAATAAGTCCAATAACGAGAACTTCAATTACTTCCTTCAAATTACACTTGCACAGCTTTCTGAGTCAACTGGGGCACCATTCTATGAGCCGAACATGTTCGTTTTATAGTATTGTCTTTCATTCACTTTTCCTCCCAATATTCCTTAACTATACCTTCTAATTATATTATTGATTTCTTTGTTTTGACATGTTTTTAAAAATATAAACCAGGCCCTTCTGAAGAGATTATCAGAATATTTTTATTTTCTTCCTAGTCTTTATACTGAGAATGTTTTGAGTATCTTTCCATTACTTTCTATGATTAACTCACAATTTGCTTTCTGTTATTTGAAGTTTATCTCATCAGTTTCTGCAACTGAATTAAAAACTTTAGAATAACTACTTTCATTAAAGTCAATATATGCTCATCTGTTTTCATTCATGGCTAAGTTTCTTGTGTAAACTAAAGTGTCCCTAGTCTCCTCTGGAATAAAAGATTTTTTCTAAAATAATGGGCCAGGTGTGGCAGCTCACACCTGCAGTCCCAGCACTTTGGGAGGCTGAGGTGGGAGGATCACTTGAGCCCAGGAGTCTAAGAACAGCCTGGGCAACATGAGACCTCATCTCTGCAAAACAACGTAAAAATTAGCTGAGTGTGATGGTATGCATCTATGGTCCCAGCTGCTTGGGAGGCTGAGGTGGGAGGATCTTTTGAGCCCAGGAAGTTAAGGCTGTAGTGAGCCATGGTCATGCCACTACACTCCAGCCTGGGTGACAGAATGAGACCCTGTCTCAAAAAGTGAAGAAAAATGCTGTTCTAATCACCCCTGATGTAGTTTGACATTTATGGTGAAAAGTGGATTTGGATTTTCTTTGGAAGTGCATTGCACTATTAGAGTTACAATAAGAAGTAGGAATCCTTTATTGTAAATACTATGTCTAATGTAAGTTTCATTTTAAAAAACAAAACTGGTGAGGCACAGTGGCTCACACCTGCCCAGCACTTTTGGAGGCCGAGGTGGGCGGGTCACTTGAACTCAGGAGTTTTTGACAGCCTAAGCAACATGATGAAACCCCTAACTCTACTAAAAAGTAAAAAAATTAGTTGGGCATGGTGTTGCCTGCCTACAGTCCCAGCTACTGCAGGGCTAAGGCAGGAATATCGCTTGAGCCCTCAGGGTCGAAGCAGTGAACCATGATTGTGCTACTGCACTCCAGCCTGGGCGACTGAGTGAGACCCTGTCTCAGACAAAGAAAAACAACTGGAAAAAAATTTTTTTGGCTACAATTAGTTTTCCAGCTCTGCTTTTCCAACTATTTTCTAAAACCAATTTTATTGTGTTTACATTGTTTAAATAAAATTTCGAACTTTTTACCTTGTTTTTATAGTATGTGTATATAAGCTTTCTTTTTTCCTCTTCCCATTTACAATAGATCGCTTGGGCTTTAAACAAAGGTGTAAAAACAGAATACAAACAATTCTGGGATGTGGATCTTGGAGTTACATATATACCGTGGGAAAAAGTTAAAGTGGATGACTTGGAAGGTTTTGCAGAAGGAGGCATGATTGATCAGGAGACTGTAAATACTGGTAAGAATTTTAAGGTCTTTTTATTGTTAAAAAAAGTATGGTTAGAAGGTTGTAGCTGAAATGAATTTGGGGTGATAGCATTAACTGTGTATCCTGGATTCATCTCCCAAAAAAGACAAAAGATACATTCCTGTGCCCTAGTGTACATGCTTAATGGGACCTATTTCGTAGATGTCAAAGTATAGATTAGAAAGTATGGAAGTCTATATAAATGTAGCATTTTTAAATGTATGAGTTTTTTTTTTTTCATTTTCATACTTGAGAGTTATGTGTAGGAGGGATTTTTAAAACTAAATATTTGTGATTGCTTCAGTTTAAGTGGGAACTTGGGAAGTTTCTTTGAAACACTTTGCAGATTATTTTGAGTAGTATCCATGTTGAAAATAGCAGGAATAGAATCTTAGTTTAGGGAGGTTCAGATTCATACAATGTTAAATACTTTCTGGAATGCCTTTTACAATACCAAATGATCATCCAGCCTGCTTTTTTTTTTTTCCCCCCAAAAATTGTCTTTTTATTTTAAAAGATTTCAGTTAAAAATTGACAAAATGATTTGCAGTTACAACCAATAGGAAATCTAAACATTTGAAAAAGAACTGGAATGTATATACACACCTTTTTTCTTCACACCTTAGCTCGTTTATCAGAATTAGCTGATTTTCCGAATATTTGTTTCTCAGACCAATGCAAAATTTTAAACCATTTTTGTTTCTATTAAACTCTTCCTGTCAGGCCTACTCTTCACCCCACCCGCGCCAATGGCTGCTTATTCCAGTATCTTCACTTAGTAAATATTTTACTTTGTGCTGTGTATCAGGCCTAATTTTAGGAACTGGAATTATAGCAGTGAGATAAATAGACAAAAATTCTTCCTCTTGTAGAGTGTAGCGCAGAGGTCAGCAACCTACTATCCATGGTCCAAATCCTGTTGGTAGCCTGTTCTGTAAAGTTTTATTGAAACACAGCCATGCTCACTTGTTTACCTATTTTATATTACTTTTTTTTTTTTTTTGCAATAACAGTTCAACACTTGCAGCAGAGAACACATGGCCCATAAAGCCTCAAATGCTATAAAGTTTACTACCGCATGTTTCACACATTATCTGTGAAGAAAACAGATAAAATAGATAAATAATATAGTACTTTAGTGTCAGTAAGTTCAAAGAAAAAAAATCAGGGAAGGGAGATGGGCAATGTGGGCGTGGAGGTGTTGCAGTTTTTATGTGCTTGTAGAAGATCTAATGGAGAATGAGATATTTGAAAGTGTAAGGCATGCAGCCATCTGGGGAAAGAGCATTCTATATGGAGGGAACAGCAAGTGCCATGTTTGTATTCAAAAATAAGGAGACCAGTATAGCTTGTGCAGAGTGAGTGAGGAAGGAGTAGTAGGAAATCAAGGCAGATAGGTACAGAGGGGCAAAGTCATACAAATCTTACTTACCTTACTTGATCTTTACTTTGAATGAGATGGAGAAGCATGAGAGAGGAACCATTAGAGCTTCTTTGTTCTCTTTTTGCATAGCTGTGTTTTCAGAAGGATTTTATTGTATTGGATTAATACTCTTCTAGTTGGTCTTCCTTTGTTGTATTTTGTGATTAAAAAATTGAGTATGGTTAGTTCCTCTTATATCAGCCAGCCATTGAGATATACGTGTCTATTATATCCCTTCTAAGTGTTTTCTTTAGATGAAATATTTTAGTGTCTTTCCTTTGTGTCTCATGTGTCATGGTTTTTTGAACTCCATAGTATCCTAATCAGATTATTCTGGGCAGAAGTCTAGAGTGGCACCTACAGTTTTGGATATATCTTAAAGATGTGCCAAGGTAGATGAAGAATTTAGATGTGAAATAAATGAATACAAAGAAGAAAATGTAAAGTTGCACCTATCCAAAGGAAATCAATTTCAAATATTTTGTTTAGAGTGGGAAACTGTGAAAAGCTCAGAACCTGTTAAAGAGACGGTCCAGACAACTCAGAGCCCAACTCCAGTTGAAAAGGAGACAGTGGTCACAACCCAGGCAGAGGTTTTCCCTCCTCCTGTTGCTATGTTGCAGGTTAGTGTTGAAGTGGGTCTGTTTTTTTTTTTTTTCCTTAATGTGTTCTTTTACATTTCTGTTTTTAATCATGTATTTACTTTATCAAACCGGAATGAAAATCTCCATATCAGAATAAATGGTTGTCAGTAGTTTTAGGGAAAAGAATGTTTCTTCTAAATCTCTTGAAAAAAAAAAAAGTCTGCTAATGCTGTGGTATCATTGTGCTAAACACATTAAAATAAAGATAAATATGGAAATATTATTTCTGAGAACTCACAGGATTTTTTTAGATTCATATTTTTCTGAGGAGTCAAATTGATAGAACAGTAAGTTATTTTAATGAGTTTAATCAAATACTTTTTGAAAAATTATTTTTAGAAATGATGTCATTCGTATTTAAATATGTTTATTGAACAAATATTTATTGAGTACTGGCTCTGTGACACTCACTTTTCTAGGTATCAGTGAAAAACCCCCACAAATCTCTGCCCTTTTGGAGCTTTTATTCTCAATAGTGGTGACAGAAAATGTAAAATAAATATGATTATGAGATCCTATGGAAGGAAAAAGGTAGCATAAGGCTGATCTATTTTAAATAGAATGGTGATGATAGACCTAATTGAGAATGAGAAATTTGAGCAATGACTTAAAAGCACTAAGAGAATTAACCATGTGGATATCTGATGAAGAACATTCTGTTCAGAGGCAACAACCAGTGCAAAGGTCCCACACCAGGAATATGTTGGTGTGGTCCAGGAGTGTTAAGTGGGCTAGAATAAAGCCAGTGAAAGGCAAGTTAGTTGAAGATAAAGCTTTCTAAGGACTTTGGCTTTCACTTGGAATGAGATGAGAATGGTGGGTCTTTACATGTGACAAAAAGAGAGAGAGATGAGGAGCCATTGGAGGATTCTGAGCAGAGGAGTGACTTGATCTGGCTTACAGTTTTAAAGAATTGCACCGGTTACTAATTTGAGACTAGGCTGTAGTGAGCTTTGAGTAGGGAGACCAGTTAAAAGACAGTTGTAGCAATCCAGATGAGAGCTGGTGATGGCTCAGAATAGACTTCTGGAGTGTCTGTTGCACTGGAGGTAGTGAGAAAATAGTGGAGGTAATGAGAAATGGTCAGATACTAGGTGTATTTTGAAGGTGTTGTAACTAACAGGACTTTTCCTAGTGTGATTGGATTTGGGATTATTATGAGCAAAAGCAGAGGCAAGGTTTTTAGTCCAAGAAATTGGAAAGATAGAGTTACCATTAACTGAGACTGGGAAAGACTGTGAGAAGAGTTTTTTTGGGAAGGATGACTGGAAAATCAGTTGTTTCATACGTGTTAGGTAGAAGTATCTTTTTGTCAGCACACTTGGGATGTTGAACAGACACTTGTTGTAACGTGAAATTTAGAAGAGAGCTAAAGCTGTGGTGCAGATGAATACTTGCGACTTGTACCTGGAGTGAGTAAAAGGTACTTATGCTAGGATTAGAAAATAAATTTATGAGAAATTTAAGCCATTCTAAAGCTGTTATTGACATGCTTCCTAATGGTGGTTAGGTTGCATAGCATAGGTTTTACTGAGTGGGAGATGGCAATTTAAAATGGAGCATAATACTCAGTTTCAAACTAGGTGACCATTAGTTTACATCACTTGAATGTAAGATCAAATTCATAATCTCCAAGTAAAAACTATCTGTTGAATAACATGGCCTTGTTTTTACCCTAAGTCGGTTCACTTGCAAGTATACAAAAAGGGGGCATAAAACCCTTTTTAATAGTATTTGTTACCATCCTGAAAGAGAAATAGAATAATTTGCCTTTAGTTGTTCCAAGATGCAGGTGAATAAACTGATGACTGAACTTTTTTGTCTGTCCACAAAAGATTCCAGTGGCGCCAGCCGTGCCTACAGTTAGTTTAGTCCCACCAGCATTTCCTGTGTCGATGCCGGTTCCTCCTCCTGGATTTAGTCCGATTCCTCCACCTCCTTTTTTACGAGCAAGTTTTAACCCTTCACAACCACCACCTGGTAAGGAATTTTTGTTTTAATATTTGAACTCTATTTAGATTATCCTTTAAGTTGTTGTTCTTTCAGATTTAAATACCATAGAGCAGTGGTTCTGAGACCTTAGCATGCATAGGCTTGTTACAGCACAGATTGCTGGACGCAGCCTCCACTGTTTTTGCTTTACTCGGTTTGTGGTAGGGGCCAGAGAGTTTTCTTTTCTAACTTGTTCTCAGAATGCAGATTGGTGGGAGACGCAGCACTGGCACAGAAAAATAGAATTTCTTTAGAATAATTGAAAACCATGGCCAGGCATGGTGGCTCACATCTGTAATCCCAGCACTTAGGGAGGCCAAAGTGGGCAGATCACTTGAGGTCAGGAGTTTGAGACCAGCCTCACCAACATGGTGAAATCCCATCTGTACTAAAAATACAAAAATTAGCCAGGCGTGGTGGCTCAGGTCTGTAATTTCAGCTACTCGGGAGTCTGAGGCAGGAGAATGGTTTGAACCTGGTAGGCAGAGGTTGCAGTGAGCCAAGATCACACCACTGTGCTCCAGCCTGGGTAACAGAGCAATACTTTGTCTCAAAATGAAAAAAAGGCAAAAAAAAAAAAAGAATTACTACTCTTAATGTAAAATTTCTGTTGCAGTTTTTATATGAAGTTCTCTAATAATTATCAGCATTTCATCAGAAAATTTGCGTTGTCCCTCCTAAGAATCAGTAGGCTCCATTTAGACATTAGAAATTATATTTAAAAGGCTAATTGAATTTGTAATACTTCATTTTGACCTAATTATTTTTATTCTTTAAATATGGAAGACTTCACAAATTTGTGTGTTATCCTTGCACAAGAGCCATGCTAATCTCTGTATCATCCCAATTTTAGGGTATGTGCTGCCAAAACAAGTACTGACCTAACAAATTACTGATAAACCAAAAAAAAGTTTCTTGAATTAGATTTTCCAGGTATAGATTACTTAAACACAACTAAATATATAGTTTAAGATAGAGGTTTTAGGCTGGGCGTGGTAGCTCACACCTGTAATCCCAGCACCATGGGAAGTTGAGGTGAGAGGATTGCTTGGGTGTGAGAGTGCAAGACCAGCCCAGGCAAAGTGACACCCTGTCTGTACAAAAAATAAGAAAGTAGCCAGGCGAGGTGGTACACACCTATAGTCCCAGTTACTCAGGAGGCTTGAGCCCAGGAGGTGGAGGCCACAATGAACTGTGTTCGCACCACTACACTGCAGCCTGGGTGACAGAGTGAGACCCTGTCTCAAAAAAAAAAAAAGAAAGCTTTTATTATTAGACCATGGGAGATTAGGTTAGAAGAATGATGGAGAGATACTTGTGAACTCCTGGAAGCAAGCGATCCTCCCAAAGTGCTGGGATTACATGTATGAGCCACCGTGCCCAGCCTAAAAGCTCCACCTTAAACTATGTAAGCAGTTATATGTATTTACTTTATGAGATACCCGTTTAAGTTACAGTTTTTACCTAGAAACTCTGATTCAGGAATTTTGTTATCAAGTTTATTGGGTCAAAACAATATATATATTGTTTTTCCAAATTAAAATGTATTTGAATTCATGAATTATTTGCATATTATAAGAGAAGAAATACAGTACGTTGACTTCTGTAACTTAAGTTCTTAGATGTTGGGTAGAGTTTTTAGCAAGACTAAAAAATAAATTTGTTGTCTGAGAATAGTTGTAATTTATAGGTCATGTAATTGTAAATGTTTTAAATTACAGTTTAACGTGTAATAGGAAATTGATACAGATTTTAATAACTTTATTTTAAATATTGAAAAGTTTAATTTTCTCTATTTGTGATTTCAAAATTAAATATTTCAGAATTTTTTAAGTTATTATTTCAAAAATCATAACCATATAGGCTTTATAAAGTCGTTCCTTATTAATTTGTTGAAAAATCATGTATTTTTATTCTTTTCTTACTTTTAGCCACTTTTTTAAACGTACAAAAGGTATATCTTATTAAAAATATTAAATATGTGTATCATATAATTTACCACAAAACTTAGTTACAATCAGGATTGTGAGAAGAGGAACAAACCTTGAATATCAAAGTAGATTTTATAGTTTAAAATTATTTTAGTCATTATTTTCTAGTTGAATGTAATGGTAGCTTTGTATTTCAAAAAGTGCAAAGAAGCAGATTTACAGTGTGATATTTAAAATGATTAAAAAGCTGAGCGCCATGGTGTGTGCCTCTGGTCCCAGCTATTCGGGAGGCTGAAGTAGCAGGATGGTTTAAGCCAGGAGTTTGAGACCAGCCTGGGAAACATAGACTCGGTATCTAAAATTAATAATGTAATTGAAATCATTAAAAAGTCAATATTAAATAGAAGATTTGCTTCAATGCTTAAAACATAATATGTGTTATCCAAAGAAACAGAAACATTTTGATCTAGTGAGTAAACACGCGTATCAAATAAATAAAATGGCATATATAAACAGTTTACCTGGCTCCTATTAATCTTTGATTTTACAGCACCATAGAGCATGCTACAGGACTTGAATGGGTAAATAAATAGGATGTTCTCATAAATCTCTTTGCTTTACCTAGCTTATTAGGGATCAAATAAGGCAGCATATATAAAAGCCATTTTTAAAATAGAAAAAAAATATATAAATATGAGATTGTAGTCCATTTTAAGAATATGAAGTTTCGTTTGTAGCTATTTGAATCTTTGATTTAAAGTAAGTAATTTTTCTTGTGCTATTTTTTGGGTTCTTTTTTTTCCATGTAGGTTTCATGCCGCCTCCAGTTCCCCCACCTGTTGTGCCACCCCCTGCAATTCCACCAGTAGTACCAACATGTAAGTTTTCTACTTTTAGAGTTTTCTTTACTCATGGTAGTGTTAGTTTCAGTGTGTCAGTTCTCATTCTTGTGAATTACTGTTAATATTTTTATTATGAAAGCTTTAAGACAAATGCATGTTAGATAATTTCTGAAATATTAGTGGTAAATGATAGTTCTTATTTAAATTTGCTTGATTGTCTTAAACTGTCTTATGATTGGTTTTATTTTAGTCAAAATTCAGAGAATGTCCTCTCATCCTATTTGTGTTTTTTGTTTTGCTATGTGTATTAAATGTCTTAATGTTAGTCCAGTCCTGCCCCAGTCCTCCCTTTTTTTTTTCTCCTTCAGTTTCTTTAGTGTTTATGGGTTAATGGATTTTTTTACTTCTAGTCAGTTGCATTTTTTTTTTTTGAAGTGCAAATTGTTTCATCTTTGGATGGTGGGAGACCTGTGTTGCCTCCCTGTCACATTAGTTTTGAGAGCTACTTAGCTTTTTGGCCCAGTATATCCCAGACAAATCTTGTGTTTTCCTCCCTCCAATCTGAGAGTCGGCCATTTTTCCTATTGGGGTACGTACGGTATCTAGAGAATTCACTCTGGGTACTAGATTCTCATTTTGCTCTTGGGTTTTCATTGAGTCTAGGAATTTTTAGTGGACAGAACTAGAAACTGTGCATTTTGAACAGAAAAAAATGAATAAGCACTATTAACAAATTAGCTACTTTGATTTTTATATTTGCCTGTGTTCTCATATACTGAAAACAGTAACATGATTGCTTTTCATTATTGTACAATACAGACATACACATAGTAGTTTGAAAGTAGTGTTACTGCCAACAAGGCTGCTGGATGAAACTTAAGATTTTTCTCCCACTTTTTTTTATCCCAAAGGTGTATAATCATAACTAGGGGTACATGTGCATGTATCTATAAATATTTGTTTGTTACATGAGTAACCTATATAACAAACCTGTACATGTACCCCTGAACCTAAAAGTTTAATAAAAAAAGTATAATCAAATTACTGTTTATCAGGGTTAACTGAAATAAATCTTTCATTTGTAGTTGTGCCAGTTTCATATGTGATTTTTTTTTTTTTTTTTTTTTTTTTACATTTTTATGGGATATACACTCTAGCCTACTTGGTTTTGATATCTGTATTTTCTTTACTAGAGTAGACATTTCAAAAGTAATGCAACGCAACAGTAAATACAGACATTTATTCATTTCCTTTTTCCTGTCATTGGACGTTACAGAAATGCTTAATATACCCTTTTAATAATTTTTTCATTCTAGTCTACTCTTTTTGTACATTAATTCTCCAAGCTTCTAAAAAACCTGTAGTAATTTAGGGAAGACTACCTCAAAACTTAGACTTGAAGAGTGTATGTGATATATAAAGATTTTAACTTTTGATTATCTAATTCATTTTCCTTGTATTCTTAAATTTTGTCTCCCTTTCAGTGTTTACATAGCTTTAAAATTTGGCCGGGCATGGTGGCTCACGCCTGTAATCTCAGTACCTTGGGAGGCCAAGGTGGGTCAGAATTGTTTTAAGAAAACCTAGAAGTAGGAATTAGTGGCCGGGCGTGGTGGCTCAAGCCTGTAATCCCAGCACTTTGGGAGGCCTAGGCAGGTAGATTACCTGAGATCAGGAATTCAAGACCAACCTGGCCATCATGGTGAAACCCCGTCTCCACTAAAAATACAAAAATTAGCCGGGTGTGGTGGCTCACGCCTGTAATCCCAGCTACTCGGGAGGCTGAGGCAGGAGAATCACTTGCTGAGATCACGCTACTGCACTCTAACCTGGCCAACCCAGCGAGACTCCATCTCAAAAAAAAAGATAGGTTTAAAAGTGTTTCTTTTTGTTGTTGTTGGTTCATTAGGAAGAATTGTTTGTTCTTTCTGAAAATTAGACAAAGTGTTGAGAAGTCATTTCTGAATTCACTATTCACAGAGGGTAACAAGAGCCCACCTCCCAATTTTTTCCTAGTTCACTAATTTTGGAAAATATGCAGTCAATTAATGGAAAAAGAGAAATAGTTGTGTGCCAGATGCTATCCCAGTTGCCTTTACTGTCTCATTTAATTCTCTTAATTCTCATACATGACCACAGATTTATTTTTGTAGCTCTTGTATGCTAACAGTTTTTCCCGGGTAATCTAGAGTTACATATGAAGATAAAACATTTCCTAAGTTCTACAAGTATGATTTTACAGTATTCTAAGTGACATAAATTGTACTAAAAATTTTAATTGTGTAATTATTTTATATTCCTCTGGTTGTGTTTTTTAATATGTGTGACAAATGCCCTTAGGGATATCTCTACCCATTCTTTAAGATGGAAAGTTTATAGCTTCATATTTGTAGTCCACCTTATGTATTCTCATCTGATGAGTTTCTAACTTCATTTGATAAAAGGTAATGTTAAATGAATGTTAGGACCTTAGTACATTGTAATTGCAGGGGGATTGGGCAGATTTTCATACTCATACATTTCAGTCTGCACTAGTCATTTCTGTATGTTTAGACATTCACTTATCTGGCATTCCTAGAAAATTATTAATTTTTTTGTTACTAGAATTTACTTTTTTTGAGTGCTGGTCTTAACATTTTTGGTGAAATATTTCTGAAAATTGTTAGTTTTCCCTATTTTTGGATAAAGCTTTCTAAATGTAATTTAGCCTCTTCATGATGACTCATTTTGTCATTTGAGCATTGGTTATTATATATAGTGTGCTTAGTAATACAGAGATGCCATTATAAATTAAATACTCAAACTGCCAGAAAACTTAGCACATGAATTGACTCATTAAATCTGAAATATGTTTTTCTCCTCTTTAAACAGCTTTGGTGCAGCCGTCATTATCCATGACCCCGGAAACTGTGAAAGATGTTGGGTTTGGTAGCCTTGTTATACCGGGTGGCTCTGTTGCCAGCAATCTTGCTACTTCCGCTCTGCCAGCTGGAAATGTTTTTAATGCTCCAACTAAACAGGCAGAGCCTGAAGAAAAAGTACCTCATCTGATAGACCACCAGATTTCTTCTGGTGAAAACACGAGATCAGGTAAATAATAATAAAATTTTTAAAAAATTAAGTCTAAGCTAGGTTGCCCCTCTGTATTTGTTGTTTAATTCTGGGGTAGCATGCATTTGTAACCACTTCAATCTACAAATGCTGAAATATTGCACTTTTTAAAAAAGAGATCACTATGTCCTAAAATTTCTATGTGAAAAAAGTGGCCTTCTGTTCAGGATAATCTGAATTTTAGTTCCATTAAGACCCTCACACCACCACCCCTTTTTTTCGTCTTATTGGAACTACTTCAATGTGTTGTCAAAATAATATTACACAAAATCTGTATACTTACCGGAAGATAAAAATGAACAAGTATTGGGTGTAAATAATTTCTACCAGGAACTTACTTCTAATAGGTATTATCCAGCTAGCTCTAGAAGATAAATATGGTGTTTGAAAGCAGTAAGTCCTTTTTCTGTAGTCTCACTGTTGGTACATTAAGAATTATGGTTTAGAGGCACTTGACCTTGATGCCTGTTTGAGTCTCTTCCAAGTGTGCTTTCCTTTCTTTTCTTTCCTGTCCTAAAGCCTTTTAAATCTCCACTTGTGTTCTTAAAAAAAAAGAATTATGGTTTAGAAAGGTTTTTATTAAAGGTGGAAAATCAGTATAATACCTGACATTTTTGTTTAACTTAAAAAGATTTCATGTAGTAGCTAATGTACCTTGATTACTGGGGGATACAAGTAGCTGATTAAGCTAAAATTATTGGAAACTTTGACTGTTATTTTGAGTTTTCTGTTTTCTTTTTTTTTAGTGATTCCAAATGATATTTCAAGTAATGCTGCAATTTTAGGAGGACAGCCACCAAATGTGACAAGCAATTCTGGAATTCTGGGAGTCCAAAGACCAAATGTATCAAGTAATTCTGAAATCCTTGGGGTCCGGCCATCTAATGTTTCCAGTAGTTCTGGGATTATTGGAGCCCAACCACCAAATATTCTAAATAACTCTGGAATATTGGGAATACAGCCACCCAGTGTGTCAAGTGGTTCTGGACTTTTGGGAGTGCTACCCCCAAATATACCTAACAATTCTGGACTTGTAGGAATACAGCCACCAAATATTCCAAATACTTCTGGACTTCTGGGAACACAGCCACCAGCTGGACCTCAAAACTTACCCCCTTTAAGTATCCCTAATCAAAGGATGCCCACAATGCCAATGTTAGACATTCGTCCAGGACTAATACCACAGGCACCTGGGCCCAGATTCCCTTTAATACAGCCTGGAATTCCACCCCAGCGGGGAATCCCACCCCCATCGGTACTTGATTCAGCTCTTCATCCACCACCCCGTGGACCTTTTCCTCCAGGAGATATTTTTAGTCAGCCAGAAAGACCTTTTTTAGCTCCTGGAAGACAAAGCATAGACAATGTTGCTAACCCAGAGAAAAGAATACCACTTGGGAATGATAACATTCAACAGGAAGGAGATAGAGATTACCGATTTCCTCCTATAGAAACCAGGGAAAGCATTAGTAGACCTCCCCCTGTGGATGTTAGAGATGTGGTTGGGCGGCCTATAGATCCAAGAGAAGGTCCTGGACGGCCTCCACTAGATGGTAGGGATCATTTTGGAAGACCTCCTGTAGATATAAGAGAGAATCTTGTGAGGCCAGGTATAGATCATCTTGGTCGAAGAGACCACTTTGGCTTTAATCCTGAGAAGCCCTGGGGGCATAGAGGAGATTTTGATGAGAGAGAGCATCGGGTTCTACCGGTCTATGGTGGTCCAAAAGGCTTACATGAAGAAAGAGGTAGATTTCGGTCTGGAAACTATCGATTTGATCCTAGAAGTGGTCCTTGGAACCGAGGATTTGGACAAGAAGTTCACAGAGATTTTGATGACCGCAGAAGACCCTGGGAGAGGCAAAGGGATAGGGATGACAGAGATTTTGATTTCTGCAGAGAAATGAACGGAAATCGTCTTGGACGAGACAGAATTCAAAACACTTGGGTTCCCCCTCCTCATGCTCGGGTTTTTGATTATTTTGAAGGGGCCACTTCTCAACGAAAAGGTGATAATGTGCCTCAGGTTAATGGTGAAAATACAGAGAGACATGCTCAGCCACCACCTATACCAGTACAGAATGATCCTGAACTTTATGAAAAACTGACATCTTCAAATGAAATAAACAAGGAGAAGAGTGACACAGTTGCTGATATAGAAAGTGAACCAGTGGTAGAAAGCACAGAAACTGAGGGGACATAATCATCACTCAGTAGGTAAAAGATACCTTTTGTAAAGTTGTCATCTCTCTGTAATAGATAATGGCTGACTGGACCATAGTTGTTCACTTTTGTCTGCCAGAATTAAGTTAATCTGATGTTCATGTTCACCTTTCTCTTAAAATAATTGTACAACTGACTTGTATAGACATTGTTCTTAATATGAACATGGTAGGTAAACTTTTTTTTTTATTTTTCTGATAAAATATAAATGTTGGCCCCAGATTCTTTTAACGTCAAGGAAATGAATAACAGCTTGTCAGAGACTTCCTATGGAAGAAAGAATTTTTTAGATAACTATCATTAGGTTGGATATGGTAATAGATATATTTCAGAATAGCAAGTCGTGGTATATCTTATCCATATCTTTAGGCTGCTGCAGAATTTTAAGGTTATAGATAAAGCTGTGATATTTTATGCAAAGACTGGCTCTAGGTATTTGAGGAGCACAATACAGAGATTTTAAAAAGTGATTTTGTAAAATCTACACTATGGTCTCTGTTTCTCCAAAGTAAGTGTTTGTGATTTGTTCCTCATACTGCAGTGAGTAAAAAAGACACAAGAAAACAACAACGTAAATATTAAAGTACGTTTCAATGTTGGGTGAATTTTGTTTTTAGATGCCAATAAAACTTATTTGTTTGATAACAGTGTTCTAGGAATTGTATTTTTTTAACCTATAAATTCTTAAAACCTTGAATTATTACTAGCATGTGCTTATATTTTGCAAAAGCTTTCTATCGTAACAACAATGAAGAACTATGTGGTGGAAAAAGCATGTACTTTGATATAAAAATCATGCAGCCTCCTCAGTATGTGTATGATATCTGTGTATGTTTATTGTGGAAGTCGTGTAGCTTTTTTCTGTTTCTCTGTATGTCCGTCTTCATGCACATACAGAGAAAATAGAAAGTTGAAAAAGTTTAGATAATAAAATATTCTTTAAAATCTGGTAGAAAATTGGAGAATGTGGGTAATTAACATGGGTTATAGTTAAAGCTCTTAGTCTTGATGAAGGTAAAATAAGAGATATTATAAAGAGATACATTGGTAGTTTGGCAGTTCTATTTTTAATATAGATAAGCAGGAAGCCAGTTTTAGCATGGAGCCAAATTTCACATAAATGCTTGCATTGCTTTGTTTCACACTATATTTGCTATTCTGCATAGGTAGTACTGACACTAAAGTACTCACTGGTCACGTGCCTGGAGTTAATTTCTTAATTACACAAAATGTGTAGTGGTGCTGATGGACTTAAAGACATTAGTATGTATACCAGGAACAAAATACCCATTATGTGTTTTGTAGGACTCTGGATAACACTGTAGCCTCCAAGGTAAACTGAGTAGGAAAAAATTGGGGGTTGGCTTCCTGTTTGTTTTTGCTTTTAATTTTTATTTGCTGGCTGTTCTCGTTTAGGTTTTACTTACATACACAGATATAACACCATTGGTGTTTTTTAGTTTCTAATGGAAGGCTTTTATTTGGTTCTATGAATGGTCATTTTGTTTCCAGTGCCTTCCCAGCAATTCATCATTTGCTCTGTTTATCCAAAATTTCTAAGCAAAGATAGCTCCAAGAAATGATAGAATACACCAGACATTTAAAATTGGATTGGTCTTGCCTAGCTCTGATGACCTAGAGAGCTATAAAAACTTTAAGGTTCCTGGCCAAAAATAAAAGACGACTTACAAGTTCTGAACAGAGATAGTACAGTATTTAGTTATTTAGAAAAGTAAAGAGTAAAAATATTTAAATGGTATTTCTTTCCAAGGTAATTCAATTCAGTCAACAATTTGAGTTGGTTTCAACTCTTTTTTCCTTAGGGTAATGAGGAAAAACTTTTACATGGATGCAAAGTTTTAATGTTCAGGAAATACTGGCTTTGCCCTTAAGGAAATTGTATTGGCTGAGATTTCTCTCAAACTAGTTTAGTTGTGTTTACCATTATTAAAATTAAGTGACAGTCACTTGGATTAAGTAGCAATAAAAAGCTTTCTAGTGATTTTTGATGCCAAGCTTTTTATCACTGTTGGGCCTTCATGTGTGTACTTAAAAAAAAAAGTGCAAGCATTGCACTGGTTTAAAGATTCTAGTGGTGAAAGTTATCCTTACCGTATCTAGAAACCAATCTTGGAAATGTGTGATGACACTCTTTTAAAATAGTTGAAAGAAGTTATCATGTGCTTGTTCTTATGTCCTTGTTTTTTGTTGTATAGAATTTAAGTGAAAGGAGATTACCTTCATTCAGAATTTTCAAAACTCATAATTGCATTTGCCATTTTTTAAATGATAGGGAGAAAAGTTAATTATCTTACTTTGATACATTTGGCATAGGACCTATCACATTTTTTATGCTTTTGGTCACAATTTTGTCACTAGAATACTAGCAATTAGAAATGTGCAAGGAGTAACCTAACCACTTTAATACATTGGTTTGAAGTGTTGCAAGCAGTGATAACTAGACACCAAATCACGTAGTGTTTTAATTTGTGACATGTTAGTGGTATGCCTTTCTGCAGTATTAGCAAACAGAACCCCTGATTTTTACATTTTTGTCTGTATTTAAACATTTCATTAAACATTAACTTGTGTTCTTAGCATAAATGCATACACTGATAGAAACTTACTTTGCATCATATTATAGGTAGAATATTCCTTTATTTTAATTTTACTTCAATAAAGGGTAGACAAATAATTTGAAAGTATCGGAAGATGAAAATACTAGAAGTGTGAAATTATTTAAAACTCTGGAAGTAACTCCATATAGTATTTAATTGATAAAAATGCATTCATTATTTAAGCTATTGCATTCTTACCAGAGCAGTTCCTTTTGTCCTGAGAGTTTAGTTGCTTCATTAAATTTATTTGCCATTTTTCACTCATATGAAATATTATAGTTTAAGGAGCCACACATTTAGGGTTGTTTGGGGGTTAGGGGATGTTTTGTAAATTTAAAAAGGAGAAGTCATCTTTTTAATTTGAAAAACTACTTTTTAAATAAACACTGTATTTCGTGGGATATAGGGTGCTATTGATTGTAAGAAACACCATTCAGAAGTAGACAGTGTTTCTAATATGACATGCTAGTGATTATAGATACATTCCTAATTCAGAGATAAATGTGAAGTTTCTTAGTATCAAATAAATACAGTATTATTGAAATGGACTTTCAGTTTAGTGAGAGTATATGAACATTACTGTTACTCAGTTAATTTGAGTAAATTTTCTACCAGTCTAAACTTTTTTTTTTTTTTTTTTTGAGATGGAGTCTCGCTCTGTCACCCAGGCTGGAGTGCAGTGCTGTGATCTCCACTTACTGTAAGCTCTGCCTCCCAGGTTCTGGCCATTCTCCTGCCTCAGCCTTCCAAGTAGCTGGGACTACAGGCACCTGCCACCATGCCCCGGCTAATTTTTTTTGTATTTTTAGTAGAGATGGAGTTCACCGTGTTGGTCAGGATGGTCTCGATCTCCTGACCTCGTGATCCACCCGCCTCGGTCTCCCAAAGTGCTGGGATTACAGGTGTGAGCTACCGCACCCAGCCCAGTCTAAACTTCGATACACACACACACACACACACACACACACACACACACACCCCTCACCCCAAGTGATTTAGAGAATATTTTGTTTTTCCTCACTATTATATCTTTTATATATATATAAAAGATATCTATTAAGCTTTCTGTTCTTTATATATATATATATTAGCTATCTAACATAAATATATATCCAACATAATATGTATTTGTTAGATGGGCACAACCTGTAATGAACAAGAAGATTCTAATATTAAAACTTCGTTGTGCCGGGCGCGGTGGCTCAAGCCTGTAATCCCAGCACTTTGAGAGGCCGAGACGGGCGGATCACGAGGTCAGGAGATCGAGACCATCCTGGCTAACACGGTGAAACCCCGTCTCTACTAAAAAAAATACAAAAAACTAGCCGGGCGATGTGGCGGGCGCCTGTAGTCCCAGCTACTCGGGAGGCTGAGGCAGGAGAATGGCGTGAACCCGGGAGGCGGAGCTTGCAGTGAGCTGAGATCCGGCCACTGCACTCCAGCCTGGGCGACAGAGCGAGACTCCGTCTCAAACAAAAAAAAAAAACTTCGTTGTACCTTATGTGCCTTCATCATCATTACTTTATTGGGTGCTATATTAATAAAATACTTGGCTTTTAACTTACAAAGAAAACTTTAACATATTTCTCTTTAAAAATATCTTACTTACATAATATATAGAAAGGCAAGTATCTTTATATTCATTTTTAAGTTAGGCAAAATAAAGGTCTAAATTATTTGAAGTGGTCATACTATGGTGTGGCACAGAATTATAAATCTTTAATATTGTTCATGCTGTCGTTTTATATATGATATCTTTTAAACTAACAAATTGTAGACACTGAAAATTTGTTACATCTGAAGAAAAATATTAGTATAATTTTTAATGGAAGGTTTAAAAAAGAGAGATGTCTTGATATCCAGCGAAACTTTCTAAAACTAGAACATTTTAAAATTAAGAACCCAGATTGTTTTCTTTTGGTGGAAAGGCATACTTTAAATACGGGCACATAAATATTGAAAGCAATTTGAGATGTCCTCTCTCTGTGGTCCTCAGGCAGGAAATATATAACAGAATCATCTGTGGAGCTCTCTGAAAATATTTTGGTGGGGGGATGGGGAGTAGAGGATGATCACCACAGACTTACTAGTTCAGGATCTCCTGAGGGCGATAAATATATATATATAAAATAAATGCATACACGCACCTTCCTGTGTAGATATGGTTTTTTAAATCCCCACATACCACCATTTTAGATATATTAAAATATGTACGTCTTTATTATACTGTGCACTTGAGATTCTTAACATTTTTTAAAATCCAGATATTTTAGTTACATGAAGGTATGTTTAGTGTTTCAACAAAGCATACAATTAACTGGCAGTTGGTGTTGGAGGATGAATCAAAAGTAGAGAAGTCAGTTATCACAGCTTAAA